TACAGGCACACGCTACCATGCCCGGCTAATTTTTTGATTTGTTGTAGAGATGAGGTCTCACCAAGTTGCCCAGGTGGGTCTCGAACCTGCAGACTCAGGCAATTCACTCACCTCAGCCTCCCAAGGCGCGGGATTACAGGCTGAACCACCGAGCCCGGCTTATTGTTGTTAATCTATAGTTTGTTTTATCTGATATGAGAATGACTACTCCTACTGGTTTTTGGTTTCCATTTGCATGGAATATTTTTTCCGTCCCCTCCTGTGCTGGCTAAAAAGAAGCATCAGCAAGGGTTGAGTTTCTGGGATATGAGGACTGGAGCTGCTTAAGGCTATTTTTTCCACCCCTAAAATTCTGTCTATAGGAGTCTTTGTGTGTTAAGTGTGTCTCTTGAAGGTAGCAGATATTTGGGTTGTGTTTTTTGAAAAATGTATTCTGCCAGTCTGTATCTTTTTAGTGAAGCATTGAGACCATTTACATTCAGAGTTAATAATATGCAAGGTACCATTCTATTCATCATATTAGTTGTTCTCTGGTTGCTTTATTTACTTCTTTTCACTATTGTGTTGGAATTCCATAAGGCCTGTGAACTTTATTGTTTTCAGCATTTTTCTACTGGTATACTTTGATTTTTTCCCCCAGTATTTAGAACTCCTTTGAGTATTTACTGTAGAGTTGGTCTAGTGGTGCCAAATTTCCTCAATGCTTGCTCTTCTGAGAAAGACTTTATTTCTCCTTCATTCATGAAACTTAGTTTTGCAGGACACAAGATTTGTTGGCTGACTGATATTCTGTTTGAGGAGATTGAAGTTGAGGCCCCAACCCCTTCTGGCTTGTAGGATTTCTTTGAGAAGTCTGCTGTTAGTCTGATAGGTTTATCTTTGTAAATTATTTGGTGCTTTTGTCTCACTTCTCTTAAAATTGCTTCCTTAACATTAACTTTTCATAACTGAATGATTATATGCCTTAGAGATGACCTTCTTGCAATGAATCTTCTGGGAGTTCTTTGGGCTTCTTGTATCTCAATGTTTAAATCTCTGACAAAGTCAGAGAAGGTTTTCTTCATTATTCCATCACATAGTTTCTCCAAACCTGTTTCTTTTCTTCCTTAGGAACACCTATGATTCTTAGGTTTGGATGTCTTACATAATCCCACATTTCTTGGCGGCTTTGTTCCATTCTCTTGGTGCTCATTCTTTATTGTTGTTCAACTGGATTAATTCAAAAGTCTTGTCTTCAAGCTCCGAGATGTTTTCTTCTGCTTGTTCTAATCTACTGTTAAAACTTTCCACTGCATTTTATATTTTCCTAAATAATTTTTTTTTCACTTCCAGGATTTCAGTTTTTTTGTTAAGGTGTCTCTTTAAAGGATTTTTCAGTTATGTCCTGAATGGTTTTACAAATTTCTTTATGTTAGTTTTCAACTTACTCCTGAAGTTCACTGAGCAATTTCGTAAGCAACTTTTTGAATTCTATGTCTGGAATTACAAATATTTCATTTGGTCTTTTACTGAGGAGTTAGTGTGGTTTTTTTTTTAGGTGTGTTGGAGAACTCTGTTTTATCATAGAGTCAGAATTATTTTCCTGGTTCCTTCTCATTTGTATAGACTATTTTTATTTAACGGCAGAAGGGTGATGTGGGCACTATAAGGTTCCCTTGGTTATCTATAGCCTTGGGGTGGTGAGTCTCTCAATTGCCAGTTGTGGCAGTCCTGTGCTGGGTACCTACCCTGGCTAACAGCATCTTGAATGACAGTGTGGCTTGGACAGTGGTGTTAGTTGGGGACTGGGATCAGACCTTCCCCAAAGATGAGGTATTATATCAGATGTAATGGGCTGTGCTGTCGACCTCTGGCCAGGAGATGGCACCTGTGGGGGAAAGGTAGCTGTGAAGATGGCTGTGGGGTTTCTCCTTGGTGAGTGTTGCTCAAGAAAGTGTCCAGCCAACCTAGGAGGAGTTTGGGGGCTCTGGGGATTATTCAAATTCTCTGTCTGTCTTAAGCCTCTGAAGGGAGTGAGGGAACAGGAGCTCCAGCATCTCACTTGTGTGCACTCTTTTTTTTTTGAGTTTGACTTGGAATCTCACTCCATTGCCCAAGCTGGAGTGCAGTGGCATGCTCATGGCCACCCTAGCATTGACCCACTGGACTAAGGCAATCCTTTTGCCTCAGCCTTTCAAGTAGCTGGAACTACAGGTGCACACTACCATTTTTTGATTTATTGTAGAGATGAGGTCTCATCAAGTTGCCCAGGCTGGTCTTGAACCCATGGGCTCAGGCAATCCTCTCACCTTGGTCTCCCAAAGTGCTGAGATTACAGGCTGGAGCCACCATGCCTGGCCTTGTGTGCACTCTTGACTACCCTGTTGGGAATTAGGAGGGAGTCTTTGGCCACTGGGTTAATGCTGTTGTGCAGATCAGGCACAAAATAGTTTACACAGAGAGTAAGGGTTGCTATGGGCATAAATCTTACTGGGCTACTTACCTTAGCCTCAGGTAGTCTACTTTCTGGAATGTCAGAAGTGCATCTGGCCTCAGGGTCTCCGGTGTTCTCACAGTAGGCCACTCTAGTCAGGAACTGTCTGCCGTCTAGAGTTTGCCTTGAAGATTATCCCCTCCCAGACTGGCTAGAAAGGAACCATCGGCATGGGCTGAGTTTTTGGGATCTGGGAGCTGGAGCTGCTTAGGGGTTTTTATTTTTTCCTGCACCTCTCTGTGTGGGCTTCAGCAGAACACAGCTGTGTGTAAGGCAGGGTCCTGTGATGAACTGGAGTCCTGTAAGACTGAAGGGGCCCTCCAAGTCAGGACAGGAGCACAGAATTCTTCAATTTCCCTCACTCATCTTTCCCTTTGTGACCGGAGCCTGTCTATGGTCTTTGTCATGATCTGAAGGAGAATCTGGTTAGTTCCATTATGGGCTGATTGATTTTTCTCTTCTTTGCACTGTGTGGTTATCACTTTTTTGATGAGTTGTGGGGCATGCTGCTGGTCCTGTTACTCTCTGAGTACAGAGGAAATTCTCTCTACCTTTGTTTATTCTATAGGAGAATCACACTCTAGATGCCTTATGTTGGCTATCTTAACCCATTTCTTGTTTAGGAAAAAAAGTGTAGTTCACCACACTCATTTAATTGTACATAAGCACGTTCTTTGAGGCTGAAGCAAATCTGGCTGGTTTTCAATCTAAAAATAAAATATAAAAATTGTTTTTAGAGTTATTTCTAAATAGAACTTGTCTCTAATCCAAAAGTAACAGAAATGAATATGATGATCAGTATTTAATAATTTATTTGAGATGGTACATTTCAAAACATGAAACACAAAGTGGAACATTATATGGAAATGCTACTACTAAAAAAAGAATGCTATAAATAGAATGATGTCTTTTCCCCCCAAAGACTATTGATATACTGAAACAAGCTAAATCAGTTAATAGAATCAAATTGCTAGCAAAATAATAATATTAACCAGCTTATTCCATTTTGTTTAAAACTTTCATCTCAGTTACCTGCCTGATCTAAGAATCAATGCCTATGTGTGATTACAGTAACATTCCCATGACTGCAGACCCCCAGCTTTGTCTCCTTTGGGCAGGTCGTGCTGATCATTTCCTGCTGACTGTTACAAAACTCCTTAGCCATAAGTTCCATGTAATTGTATGCTTTTGTTAACTGAAATCAAATGTTATGCTTTGATATTTTCATATTTTGTTCTTATATTCTGTTAGTGACCTAACTAAGGTACATAAGAGTAATCAAAGCTCCCTAACAATCAAAAGTTTCCATTTTGGTTGTCAAGTTGTTAGTTAATAGTTGCTGTGGTCACTAAGTTGCTATGTAGCCAATACTGCAAATTTTACCTATGAAAGCTTGTCACAAACTGCACCAATTTGTCAAGAGTTATTTTTCCTGGCGTTTGCCTGCTCTTGATCCATGCGTTAATAAAACTCTAATTAATTAAACTCAGCTTGCTGGCGTGACTTCTCACTTACTTGGTCATAACAATAGAAAGAGTGATGCAAAAATAGTGATACAATCGAGATATTTTGCAAAGTTTGGGGGTAAGCTGTGAGTTATCTCAGTGTAAATACTTCAGCTGCAAGCACTGCTGGCAAGTATTCTCAGGGAATACAGGAAAAAGGGTTTATCCTCTCTTGAAACACCAAACATTAATGGTGAAATCAGCAGGCAGTAAAACAAACATACCCAATCCTGGATTGAACTCATTTTTTGATTAGACATTGATTTTGTACCCCCCCAAAACACTTGTTTCTTCATGGGTGATGGACTTGACTCTTTCTTTATTTATTATTTTCCATGGCTTCCCTGATTTTTGTAGCCCATGACCTGATGAAATTTGTTTGAACATTCAGGATTGGGCATTTATAATTTCTTTAAACTGGGTTTCTGATTTCCTTGTTTGAATATTGGGAAAAAACTAGGGGATCAGTAACTCTAAGACTGTGGACCTGGACCAGGTGAACAAAGCCTTTTAATTTTTTATTTACACCAAAACCAGTTCCCATCACCAACACATATCACCTTCTGAATTTCTCAAATGCATTTATAGATTTCCTAACTCTGCTGGGTTCACTCTGTATGTTCCCATGTTCTTTCTTTCTATTTTTTTTTTTTTTTTTTTTTTTTTAGAGGGGAGGTCCCTCCATGTTGCCCAGACTGGTCTTGAATCCAGGAGCTCAGGCAATCTTCTCGCCTCAGCCTCCCAAAGTGCTAGGATTATAGGCATGAGCCATCACACCTGGCTCCCATTTTCTTAATATCTTCATATTCTTTACTGATAATGTCAACCTTTCTGATTCTGTGGTGAAACCAGAAAGTTGCTTATATTTACATACTTTTTTTGACATTTTAATGGAATTTGAGAAGTAGGAATGGTTAATGTGCAAAATCAGCAATTATCTCTCTTAAACTTCATTTCATTAGGTTGACTTTTCCTGACTTTGTACAAATTTAATCTTGTGCATTATTCCTTCTTTTATATAGTTATTATGGACTTATCAAAGCATGGACACTTGCAATAGGACTGTTAGGATCATCACTTGCTTCCTCTTTAACTGGATTTATCCTAAGTCAGGTAAGGAACATATGGACATAAGTAGTTATCTTTCCACCATCAATGGTACAGAGAAAGCAGGTAATACATCTATGAAAAACTGGAGAGGAGATGCCAGCAAGAGGTGAGTAATGAGTTGCTGTGTCATATGAAAATAAACTTGGTCACATTAGGCATTGTTCCAAATCTATAATTTTTTTTTCTTGTTATATATCAATTATTTGTGCTGGGATCTCTTTGATTGTTGGCTATTGGTACTGTATTGAATCCTAGTTATTTTTCTTTTTTTTTTTTTTAAGTAAGAGTCTCACTCTGTCACCCAGGCTGGAGGGTAGTGGCACTCTCACGGCCATCGCAGCCTCGATCTGTTGGACTCGGGCAATCCTTCTGCCTCAGCCTTTCAAGTAGCTGGAACTACAGGCATGCAACACCATGCCCAGATAATTTTTTAATTTATTGTAGAGATGAGGTCTCGCCAAGTTGCCCAGGCTGGTTTCGAACCTGTGAGCTCAGGCAATCCTCTTACTTCGGTCTCCCAAAGTGCTGGGATTATAGGCATAAGCCACCACACCCAGCCTTTCCCAGTTATTTTTCATAATGAATATGTGACTAGGTCAATACAGGCATCTGATTGAGTAAAAGTATAAGTAACAAGTTACAGTTTTCTCAGAAAAAGGACAAAAAATTAAGAGTAGGTAAAGTTAAAGAATTATCAAAGTATACCAATGAGGGCAGACTTCTGTTCCTGCAAGTGTCATGGACAAAGCTACCTAAATTTTTCCAGTTAAAAACATAATGCCCTAGAGAATTTTAACAATAATTTTAAATGCATGTCTCATATGGAAAAAAAAAAGTACAACAAAGTTTCAGAGATTAAAGATGAAAGAAGAGCTTGTTTCCAGATGGGTAAATGACCATGGAAGGCCGTGACTGTCTTAGATCATCCCCAACTTGGATGATCTATGTCTTCAGGTATAATGACAAGTAAAAAATGATAGTTAATATCCTAAAAATATTCAGAAAGGAGGAAACAGAATAGTAATGCTGGCATGAAACTGTAATCGCAAAGGAGACACCTTCATACCATTAGCATACATAAATTTAGTTTATTTGAAGGAAAACTTGCAAGAAAAGTATTAGTATTGTACAGGCAATTCCTCCCAATTATCCCAGGTTGGACCAGAGAGAGATGGTCTATATGTTCATGACCAAATTTCTCATAGAGAAGAGCCTCACCATCACACTCTCCATACTTATGATACCAGGAAGGCAGAAAACATGACTAGAAAGATGGAAGCTTCCTGGTCAGAGAAGTGGCCTCATTAGAAAAAGGAATCTCCAGATAACCAAGGTCTTCTTCCTTCCCGTGAGCATATATCTCCTGTTTGTCCACTGAGCTCACTCAGACATGCAGAACTGACTTCTAAAAATTGTTAGCTGAGCTAACTTCTCTGCTAACTTCCAAAATGTGGGAGGAAATGTGGCTTCAGTGCTGTTCAAAACTGTCTCTTCCTAGTAAGTTAATCTTTCTGCCTCTGCCTCAGCTTCAAAGGGAGAGAACAATGGAAACAATATTTTCTAAGCATTTGAAACATAAATGAATAAAATATTCAATGATTTGAAGGGCAGGCAGGGAGGTCCATTGTGGCAGCTGAAATATTTCTTCTGGTTCTCCTCTTGGACATTTGCCATCTTCTTTAAAGTTAGATGTATTCAGGTAATTTACTTTAGCCAATACAATATGAGAGGAAGTGATACATGTTAGTTCTGAGTAGTATCATTAAAAACCAGGAAAGCATTCTTTTTCTTTGATACAGCAACCGGTAACATTTAGAATGTTGACTACAACTCTATCCAACAGGAACCAGGAATCCAGTAGTTATGTAGAGCATACCTCTGGCCACTTCACTGTGTACCTTCTGTGTAAACAAAAAACAAACCTCTGCCACTAAGATTTAGGGTGTTGGTCACTGTAGTATAACCTACTCCATCCTGACCTGCCAGGAGGATCTATCCAGAAAGAATCTCAGACTATGTGCCATAAAACGGGGATGGTCCCATTGCAAAGCCCTAACATACATTCATTAGATCTTCTGGAGTCCCAGAAGAGGAAGATTGAGAATAAGGCCGAGGCTAGGATTTTTACAGAATGAATCCCAGAAAGAAAGCGCAGAATAGATGGCATGAGACAAGGATGATCCCATGTAAAGACTTAACTTACATTTAATAAATCCTCTGGAGTCCCAGAAGAGGGAGACTGAGAGTAGGGCAGAGGGTATATTTGAAGAGAAAATGACGGTTTTCTACATTTCCAGAAAGATAGAAATTCACATTTTCAAAAAGTTCAATAATCACAAGTAGAATAAAAAAGAAACCCACAGCAAAACACCTCATAGATAAACTGCAGAAAACAAAGAAAAAAGTTCACACAAGCAGTCAAAAAAATAAGAAAGATTGCTTTCAAACGAGCAACAGAGTGATCTCTGATGTCTCATCCATGAAAAAGGAAGCCAGAAGACAGCAGAATGAGTTCTTTCGTATGCTTAGTGGAAATAACCACTAATTTAGTTTTTAAACCGGGAAAATATTTTCAAGCAAGCAAGAGCTAAGCAAGTTTCATTCACTAATGGGCATTTAGAAATGATTTTAGGCTTAAAGAAAGAAAGTTGGAGATTCAGAAAAAAAGGAAGAGCAACAAAAGTGATACATAAGTGGGCAAATCCACTTACTTGTTTTACTGTATGAAACAAAAATGACATCTTGTGGTGTTAAAAAAAACCCCATATATATAGAAAGAATGAAATAAACAGTAATAATACTAAAATCAGGAGAAGAGGAGTAAAGGACTTCAAAGACTTCATGTTATTTTACCAGAAAATAAAAGTACTAAGAGTAGAGTTTAATATATCAAAAATACATGATGCAATTTATAAGTTAGCAACTAAAAAATATAGAAAAAGCAACATCAGTTTTAGAGACAGAGAAATAAAATGATAAAAAAAATACCTAATATAAAAGAAGGCAAGGAAAGAGGAAAAATGCAGGATATAGCAGGAAGTGCAGACATAAAGTAAATAATGTAAGTGGGGAAATTAGAGATAGCAGGAGCTACTTTAAATATACTTTAGCTAAAAGCTCCAACTATAAACAACAAATGGTCAGACTGGATGAAGAAATGAAACCTAACACTGTGCTGTTTTCATATAAATGTACAGTAAAATAAAAAGCAACAAAAAAGTTAGAATTAATAGAGAAAACGTCACTCCATGCAGTTTTTAGCAAATGAACGCTGTTGTAGTTATGTTGATCTCTGAGGAGACATCAAGGCAAAAAGTTTTGTGAGAGATGAGTCCAGTCACTTCATAATGACATCTGATTCTATTCAATAAGTATGACAATTATACATTTGCTTATGCACATAAAATATGCAAATACTAGAGATACTAGAAGAAATGACGAAAGCATAGGTATAGGTGATATTTTAATATGCCACATCTAGTAATTGTTGTAACAAAAAGAAACAAATTTATAAAAATATAAGTTAATTTAATTTATATACTTGGTCTAATTGAAATATATAGGCTACCCCACTCAACAACCACAGAATACCCATTCCTTTCAAGGTTTCCTGGAACATTTACAAAACCTGACTACTTACTGTGTTATTACGAACATTTTAACAATTGTAAAACTACTGAGATCACACATATGTCCTCCTATCACAATCAAATTATGACAGGGCTCAAAGACAAAAAAAGATAAGTAGAGAAATCCACACATACTTTTAAAATAAGAAATACACTCTAGGTGTTTAGCTGCTGATATTAGCAAGTTCAGTAATTGGTTCATTTCTCCCTTTAAGAATAGATGGAAGCCGGACTTGGTGGCTCAGCCAGTAATCCGGTGCTTTGGGAGGCTGAGGTGACTGGATTGCCTGAGCCCGCAGATTCGAGACCCACCTGGGCAACTTGGCGAGACCTCATCTCTACAATAAATAATAATAATAAAAATCAGCCAGGCATGGTAGTGCGTGTCTGTAATTCCCACTACTCGGAAGGCTGAGGCGGAAGGATTGCCAGAGCCCAGCAGGTCGAGGCTGCAGTGACCGGGAGCCGCCACTGCACTGTAGTCTGGGCGAGAGAGTGAGACTCCAACTCAAAAAAAAATAAATAAATAAATAAAAAAGAATAAATGGAAAATTCAGTTTCTTACCTATGTGCACTAATGTTTCATATTTATATTTGTAAGTATCAGTGAAGTAGCATGCAGTGAGAATTTTGGGGTCACAATCTAGGCTATAAACATTACTCTTGCATTTTGATGAATTTTTTTCTATAAGTATCTCTTTCCTTCTGGAATAGTCAGCTGAGAAGTGAAGAAGTTGGGTAGAGTTTTTTACAGCCTCTCAGGACTAGAGTTGGGGGGACAGAAATTAGAATCTGGAGACTAAGTTAGAACAAGATGGGACTATATTCAACAAATGATTGACTGATTGGAAATTGACTGTTTTTTGATGGGACACAGGAGTAGATACAAAATTTCTCCAGCAAATATCACATATAACAATACAATATGGAACATTTATCTCTGAGATTGGGAACAAGAAAAAGATGCCTTTGGTCACTATTTATTTATATTAAACTTTATATTATTTCTAGAAATAAAGTACAAAAATATGAAAAATAAGAATGAGTCTGGATGCAGTGGCTCAGCCTGTAATTCCAGTACTTTGGGAGGCCGAGGCAAGAGGACTACCTGAGTCAGGTTTCAAGATCAGCCTGGGCAACTTGGTGAGACCCTGTCTCTACAATAAGTCACAAAAAAATTAGCTGGGCGTAATGGCATGTGTCTGTAGTTCCAGCTACTTGGAAGGCTGAGGCAGATGGATCACCCAAGCCCATCAGATCGAGGCTAGGGTGACCGTGAGCATGCCACTGTACTCCAGTCTGGGCAACAGAGTTAGACTCCAATCAAAAAAAAAAAAGAAAAAAAAAAAAAAAGAAGAATTTAAAAAGAACAAATACAATTAGTCTTTTTTTAGGTGGTGTTCAACGAAAATCAGAAGACTACTTATAAATTATTAAAATTAATAAGCATGTTTTAGAATGATGTAAGATATAGTGTAAATATATAAATATGTATTTTTTCTAAATGTCCGAATAGTGTGAAAATAAAAATTTTATAAAAGATACCATTTGTAACACTATAATAAAAAATCATATATCTAAGAATACATTTAAGCAGTGATTTATGTAATTTACATAATTAAAATCATAAGAGATTTGAGAGAAATTAAGAAAATATAAATAAATGGAGAAAGATGCCATTTTCATGTACTAAAAGACTCAAGATTGTAAAATATCTCCTCATTCCCCTGAATGTTCTGAAAAATCAATAAAATCCCAATCAAAATCCTAAATTATTTGTGTGGAAATTGAAAAGGTCTTTATGCAATTGGTATGTGTTCAGAAGGGCTAAGAATAACCTACAGAATCTTGAAGGAGGAAATCTGGAATATCTGCTCTAATGATTATTACAATACATTACAACTTTATGTAAATTAATACTGTATGGTATGACCTCAAGTAGATAAACAGAGCAGTAGAACTAAAGAAAGAGTGTAGAAAAACACCACATATAGGGGCACTTGATTTATGACAAAGGTGGAACTGTAGAGCAGTGGGAGAGGATGGGCCTATCATAAAATCGCAATGGGCTAAAAGAATCTCATTATTTAAAAAATTGGCTTATCTCACAACATACCAAAACATCAATTAGAGATGGATTGTACTTGTAGGCAAAATATAAAATGTATATAGTGCAGAGGAACATTTTCATGATGCGACAGAAAATTATTTCTTAAATAGGACCAAAAAAGCACTAACATAAAGATCAAGATAAAGGTAATAAATTTGATAGCATTAAAATTAAGAACTTCTGTTCCCACAAAAGATACCATTAATAGAATAAATAGTCTTGAATTTGAAAAGATATTTGTAACACATATAACTAAGCCAGGATGTTTTTTAGTAAAAGCACATAGTTACTAAAAATTAATAAGAAAAGAGAAAGGCAATAGGAAAAAGATGCAAGTAGGCACTTTGTAAGGTCAAATAACTAATAAATGTAGTAAAGACAAAAAAATCACAACTTTCTCACACTGCACAGTTACTAGTTTAGTGATCTCTAAGACCAAATATAAGCAATGATGTGTCCAAAAGAAAACTGATCACAAGTGGTAGAAATACAAATGAGTAAACATTTATGAGAATAAGTAATAACTAGTAGAGCTTAAGTTATGCCTTCTTTATAACTCAGTAATTACACTCAAAGATAATCGAATGTATGTACACCAAGAAATATGTACAAAAAATGTTGATGGGGTGGGCTTGGTGACTCAGCCTGTAATCCTAGCACTTTGAGAAGCTGAGGTGAGTGGATTGCCTGAGCCCACTCAAGACCAACTCGGGCAACTTGGTGAGACCTCGTTTCTACAAAAAATAAAAAGATAGCTGGGCATGGTAGTACGCACCTGTAGTTCTGACTACTTGGAAGGCTGAGGTAGAAGGGGTGGCCGTGAGTGTGCCACTGCACTCCAGCCTTGACGACACACTCCAACTCAAAAAAAAAAAAAAAGTTTATGGAATGGCAGATTATTAAAAAAAAAAACAAAAAAACAAAAAAAAAACAAGATGAAGAATGCCCAGTTAAATTTGTATTTCAGATAAAGAATAATGTCTTAGTATAAATACAGAATTTTGTTTCATTAGTAAAATGCATGTTACATACTTTTATTTTTATTTTTATTTTTATTTTTTGAATTGGAGTCTCACTTTGTCTCCCAGACTGGAGTGCAGTGGCTGCTCCTGGCCACCGCACCCTCGATCTGCTGGGTTCCAGGGATCCTTTTGCCTCAGCCTTCCAAGTAGTTGGAACTACAGGCGCGCACTACAGCACTCGGCTAATTTTTTGATTTATTGTAGAGATGAGTTCTCGCCAAGTTGCCCAGGCGGGTCTCGAACCCGCAGGCTCAGGCAATCTACTCACCTCGGCCTCCCAAAGCGCTAGGATTATAGGCTGAGCCACCAAGCCTGGCATAAAATACATGTGACATACTTTTACCAAACACTTATTCGTTCAACAAAATCAAGTATAAAAGAAAAGAAATAATATTCATAATAATCAATAATTAAAAGTTTTAAGAAATGTGAAAATAGGAGCTCTTTGCATGAGGATGGTGATGGAGATGGAGAAGACCAAAAGGAAATGAGAGCCTGAAAAATATTAGCTGTATTATGGAAAAGATAAATATTGATAAGATTTATACATTTATATATCTTTCTACCTATGTATATAGTTCAATGTGTATCTATCACAAATAGACATATTTATCTATGTATTTTAAAATATCTCTAACTATATCTTTTTGTCTATCGAGATAGCTATATGTACGTGAGTATAGCTCTTAAAAATAAACAACAAAAGAGCAACATGGATAACTTTTAAACCAACAGAAGAAACGCAGTTTCTCCAAAGTGATCCAAAAATTTTTAAAAAGATAAATATTTTTAATGGAAAATATGAAACAATATGAGAGTAATACATCTTATCAAAATAATAATGAGTAGATGAAAATTGGTTAAATTTTCCAATTTTAAAATACAAAAACACACTTTTTCTCTCTACCTATCTCTCTACCTATGATGATATGATATAATATGTTGACTACATAAGATACCTTAAAAAATTAGAAATTTTTGAAATAATAGATCAAAATTTTTAAAAGGTATAAGTTAACCGGGCTCGGTGGCTCAGCCTGTAATCCTGCGCCTTTGGGAGGCTGAGGTGAGTGGATTGCCTGAGCCCGTGGGTTCGAGACCCGCCTGGGCAGGCGAGACCTCATCTCTTACAATAAATCAAAAAATCAACCGGGCGTGGTAGCACGCGCCTGTAGTTCCAGCTACATGGAAGGCTGAGGCGGAAGGATCGCCGGAGCCCAGCAGGTCGAGGCTGCGGTGGCCGGGAGCGTCCACTGCACTCCAGTCTGGGCGACAGAGTGAGACTCCAACTCAAAAAAAAAACCAAAAAAACAAAAAGGTATAAGTTAATTATGAACAAGAAATTGGCACATTAAACTTAATATCTGATTAAAATAGATTTTTAGATAAAATACATATATATAACAGAAAGATAAAAGTGGTTATCTTTATAGAGTTAAATGATGGCTTTTTCTTTTTGCTATTTATGAGGATATATTTTCCATTTCTTAAGTGACTGTGTTGAGTCTATATTTTTAGTATGATATTGTAAATGTTACAAAATACAAAAACAAGACTAATAATTTACAATTACTTTGTTTTAACCCCTTAGGATCCAGAATCTGGCTGGTTTAAAGTCTTCTTCCTGGTGCTTGCCATTTGTGTGCTAGGCCTGAGTTTCTACCTTAAATTTGCTAAAGCAGAAGTTCAGGACTGGGCTAAAGAAGAACACACACGCCTCTGAAGGTGAAAAGTGATCAGACTAAGGACAATTTTTGAAACTGGGGTTGCAGGAGAGAAAGGAGTTAAGGATGACTCTTCTGACGGAAAAGAATAGGGAGTGCAGGTTGGAGAAGATCATGTTAAGCCTGAAAATACTGAACATACTGATAAAAATGGCTCTGGAATCTGGGGGTGACATTGAAGCTGGAAATATTAATTTGGGAGGCTGGGTCCCTCTAATATTAAAAGTGAAAAAGAGAAAGAGAAGTTTGCAAGGAAGACTGCGAGGAACCTTCACTGAAGCAAAAAGAACAGTTGGAAAATGTGTCTCCAAGAGAAGTGAAACAGGGTGGAGTGAGTGAGTACCTTTAGCAAGTGCTAGCAAGTGATTAAACTATATAAAGTCTAAGAATTTTCTAATCCGTTAGGCCGGAGGTACCTTAAAAGTGACTCTGACTAAAATTATTTTCAAATGAATGATGGAGAAAAGGGTACATTAAAGTGTGTTCAAGTCACTGATATCATGCCTTTCTTATATGAACTTTATCAGTGGTAATTAAATAGTAGGGGAAATGTCTCTCTGTAGAATAAGTTCAGCTAATATTTAAATATGAATTGATAGATTTGGAATTTCCTTATTTTGCAGCTCCTAATAAATTGGAATCCAGGTGTTGAACATCAATGGCAGTGAATATCACAAAAAGAGAAGCATGAAGACATTGTGTACCTTCTCATGAAAGAACACATCACCGCTAGTCTCTTGCTAAGACAATCAAGCTGAATTTCATCAAGTCTCTGAATACAGCTACCATTTTGCAAGATATACAGAGAACAGAGAACATGTTGAACTAAATCTGAATTGTATTATCAATAAATCTAACCCATAGGAGATTTTATAAGTAAAAGGACTCATTATTTAATAAATAAATTGCATATAATAAAAATTAGAGGATGGAAGGGGGCCTTCTTAGATTAAAAAGAACTCAAAATATCACATTTTTTAGTGCTGGTAAAACTAAATCCTATAAAGATATGCATTTGGGTAATAAGTCTATCAAGAAATACAGAAAACAAGATTATTATAAATGTCAGGGAAGTGATTACTTTTAGGGAGATGAAAGGACCTCATGGAGAACTACTGTGATCCTGGCAATATTCTATTTTTCATGTCCAGGCTTGTGATGAAGAATGCTTACCTTACAATAATTCTTAGAGCCAAATCTTTGTTTTTTGCAATTTTCTGGGTCTGTGTTTTATCTTGAGAGAGAGAGAGAGACGTGGGAGAGAGAGAGAGAGAGAGAGAGAGATGGGAGAGAGAGAGAGAGAGAGAGACGGGGGGAGAGAGAGAGAGAGAGAGAGAGAGAGAGACAGGGGGAGAGAGAGAGAGAGAGAGAGACGGGGGGAGAGAGAGAGAGAGAGATGGAGGGAGAGAGAGAGAATATGAGTTGAGGAAATGAATGAAAACAGCCCCAATAGACATTCCTCTAAAGAACAAAGAAATAGTGTTGTATCTATAAAGAGAATTGTTAACAAGGGGAGTTTTTTTGTCTGTTGTTTCAGAAATAGATGCAATAGCATATAAGCTGACAGTATAATCCAATAATGAAGCTTCACAATGTAGGAGAGAGGCATAAGTATAGAATTAAAGTACTTGAAGGGATAAAATTCAAGCACTAGTGCAGAGGTTGGCCTTGGATAGGAACCTAGAGCTTATTCACAGTGGTAGAGAGAAGGTGGGGTTTTGTGAGGGGTTAATATAGTTTTGTATTTTACTGAAGCTATAAGCAGTGAGGTTTGCACTTAAGAGGGAGTAGTTGAGAGAGAAGGAAATGAAGGAATACACACTGGTAATGAAGGTAAAATTAAAACTGTCAGTAGATGATATGATTGGTTATCCAGAAAATTCAAGTGGGTTGACTGGATAGCTATAAGAATAATAAAGGAATGCAGTAAGTCTCCCAGATAACCCATTAATAAATAATTTTTTTTACCTTGTACAAAAATAGACAGTTGGCACATTTATTGGTATAAATGATTCAAATGATGTTTGGAAGAAAATTTGCTAGTATCATTAAAAAATGATGTTGGGTTAGTATTAAATTTATTCAGTATTGCAAAAGTATTTCTATAACAGTGTACTCACAAAAATACACCAAGATGCATGCATACTCAAGTTTGATGATTTAGCAATGGCACAAATCTGGATCTAAACTTAAACATGTTTATCAATGAAGGCTTTGTTCATGAATTTTGTTTAAGTGAATGGAAACCAATAAGCAATTAAAAAATATAAAAAGCTTATTTGAATATTTTCATGCAGAAGTTACTGAGATCGTCCTTATGAATAAGGACAAAACAACACTAAAATATATCCCATGGGAATTAGCAAAGATTTATCATCTATTTCCCAGGTACAGCTATAGGAACAATCACATTACTTTATTCAGACCCTATAAATCTTATTTGTTTTTATATGTTTGACCTGTTAAATACTAAAAGTTACACCACATTTTTTCATTATTACTATTTCTATTCATTTCTTTTTATGTCCAAGCTCATATTGAATACTGTATTTTAATGTTATAACTTCAGAGATTTCCACAAGTATATTTTCATTGGAAATTTATTTTTGATTTTATAAATTTATCAGTCTTTTCCATTTTATGATTTTTCCTTTTGCTTCACTTTCTGATATTGATATGACAACTTCAAATTGTGTATGTGTTCTTATTTTAGATTCCCTGGAATACTTTTGTATCACCTTTTATTTAATGTTTTTCTTGCAAAGGGAATAGAGTTGGGCTAAATTATTTCACTCACTTTGAGAGCTGTCTCCTTTGTATAGATGAGTTTAATATAAATGCATTTGTTGTCATTACAAATATACTTCATTTTCTGTCATCTTATTTTATAGTCCCTGAAAAAACTTCCTCCTTATCTTTGTGGTCCTCCTCCTACTTCTGCCCCCTTGCCCGCCTCTAGTAATTCGGGTGTGTAAAATATTTCAAATTTTGATTGCATTTACTCCTCTAAATGTTTGGAAATGTGTCCATTTTTTCCATTTCAGGGTTTATTCTTTTTCTATTTTTGCCCTTACAAAATAGCAAACACATTCAATTTTTCTAATTACTTTTCTACAGAAAGGCCAGTTCTACCTGAACCTATAATTTCACAAACATATTGTTGGTAGAATTTCCCCCATTTTCCCATTTGTTTACCTGGTAACTCTTGGTATTTTCTCATCAGACTGGCAGTGGAAGTCACAAAACTGCCTTTCAGATACTAAGCTAGGAGACAGGATCTGGTGACACCAGTGTGGAAAGTGCCATAGTGCAGAGGATTTTCGTGGCTTTGTTCTTTGTCTTGTGCTGATGGTTATTTCTTCACTTTTAGGGATGTCAGCCATTAGGCAGTACACAGGCACTGTTTGCAGAATCAGTAGTATTTATCATTGTCATTCTCAAACTGACACACTGTAGTCAAGTTGGGTACCTTAAAACTTTTCCTCCTCATTTAGGAGGTTAGGGAAAAATTAGAAAGTGTTGATTGAGTACTAGCCCAGTGTTTCTTCTGTAGCCTAGAGACCACTGCCAGTGTGCCTGGGGCATCAGGATTACAAAGGTCCATTGGTTCCCAGATGTACTGCCTCCTGCCCAGTCTCACCCAGGTGGAAGTCACTGCATAGTCCTGACCCTACATTTCCACTTTTCTCTTCCTACTGAAGGCACCCCTGAGTTTCGTAGGTAGCTGTGAGATGATTTCCAATGTCACCTTTTCTTTTGGCCCTTGGTTTGTTTTGAATTTTGTCAATAGTCCTTATTCGTTTGGGTATGAAGTAGTTCCCCAGCTTTTACACTTTTCTATTTTTGCTTCTTTAATTTATTCAGTGGATTTCAGGGACAATGGTTGAATAAAGGGGCATGTATTCTGCCTGTGGAATTACTTTGCCACAGAGCTTTGCAATCTTTTTTGTGGAATAGACAATACCTAGAAGGCAGTACAGAGGATTCTAAAGGAGACTAATTATGTTGAAAGAGTTATCAAGATATTAAAAAGCACGTTTATAACACATGCTTCTTTATTAACACACTGATTTCAAAAATAATATTGAACAAAACAATATATTTAGAAATATTGGTAATAATTGTGTGAACCAAAGTTCTCTAAAGAGGAAACTAGAATAAAGAGACTGTATTCCAGTGAACAGTTTGCAAACCCAAGAGACACCAACTTTTTTGTAAACTGAAGGCGTATTTCTGGGAACAAAGAAAGAATTTATCACTTATATAAGAAAGTTCTTGCCCAGATTCCCACTCAGGTCCTCTTATGCAAACGCATTATTCAAATTACTTAGTTCTGGTTGGTTGATGCTTGCTCAATTCTGATGGGTCTACTCAGGCCACAGGCTCTTGCTTGGTTGGTTCAGGAGCATAAACAGAACAGGCAGCTGTGAAAGTCCCAGAGGTAAGCAGAGGTATGGGCTTTCTGGGAACTCATAGTCAGTGTGTAATTGTTAGTCAGCAAGTGACCGCTTGGCTCAATTTTAAATCTAAGCCGCTGACCACTCAGGATCCATCTCGAAGAATTGACTCTTTCCAGGTTCACAATTGTAATGGCAGAAAATAGTCATGATTTTTTACTGACATCAAAGTCCTTGGAACTACTACTATAGTAGTTTGTTGCCTACTGTTCCTAATGGAAGGAAATGTTAAATGTCATTCAGAGGTTAGGGAAATAAAGATGTGATTTTTCTTTTTTTTCTGAGCAAATTCACAGTTCCTGGATTAAGAATCAGTTTTCAAGTATTCAATCAGATTGCAAATTAAGATTTTTAATCACTTTTATATTGCTGGGACACAACAGTGAACAACATCATTAGGACTTTTGTGCCTAAACAGAAAAGTTGTAACTGGATGTCAGTAAGTGATATTGTGTTGAGACTTCAGGGATAAGAAAGAGGATCACATTAAAATCAAGAGAAAGAATATTCTAAGCATAAAATAAATCCATAACAAGTAATCA